ACTTTTCTTTTATTAACCCGGCAATAGGCGCCTGGGAGTCTGAGATATCCCTACTCAATGCTTTTCAAATGGAGAATAAAATCGCGCGACCGTTTCCAGATTAATCGCTTGGTCCCCGATTCAACTGTATTGCGTTAAGAGTAAATGGTACCTTAACAGGCTGAATGTGACAGGTTATACTATTTTTTATTGTTATAGTTTTGATATCGAATGAGACGTGCATTATGATTGTTTTCTAAAGTATTTTAATAATAAACTTGGTTTAGCAATACCAACTTGAAAGAAGTGTTATTTTAAGGCTCTTGTACAAAGTTGCACTTTATTAAGGTATTGCATAACGATGTGCTTATATTGTCATTAAAACTGAAGCTTGCGTCTCAAGTACATCGTTAAAGCAGTAACGTAAGAAAGAAGCTTATGGATGGACTATGCTTTGTCATCTATCGAAAATCTATACGAAACAAACTATCAATAAGGACTTTCAATGAAATATAACCCTTTATAAAATCATTATCATTAGCCAGTGTCGTAATGCTGATACTAATAGTGTCATCATTAGATCCCAATCTGTTTGATGCGGCGATCAATTCAGTCATTTTAATATCAATTTTATCTAATGTTGATAATTCGAAAATGATTGTCCAAATTTACTGTTTATTTTAAAAGGTTCTAATTGGGCTTCTCCGGAGCCACCCAACACCCCTACTCTTGGGTTATAATTTATTAATTATTTAATTAACTAATTTATAATAATTAGATTGATGTCCGTACTATAACGATTAGTCGCTATTTTAAAAACTCCTCTATGTACGGTTTGCCACAGTCGCTACTCAGGCATCTGCTTAAATGAAATTGAGTACTTCAATGATTGGTCGTATAATAGTCTTGCGGATAGTGATCATTGCATATGTGAAAATTCGTGATATGTATGTGGATGCTGCAATCGGGCTGATTACATGAAAACGTGGTGGGATATTCTAGTATTCTGTGGTTGCACATGATTTTGTATAGGCGATTCCCCCATGCATCATCATAGCCATACATTATCAATCCTCCCTTAACATTATCGAAATTAATATTTTTATAGGTTATATTAATATTTTCATCTGCGTTTTTTTGAGTACTTATAATTCGAGGTTATTCATGATATATATTGTATGTAATATATAAAATATCAAATGCCTAGGATATTCTATAGACCAGAATTTTACACGGCATAGAATATATTCCTGGATAATACTTGAATGCGCTTAGATTATCCGATTGATTTGTCAACATCGAGTGGTCCGATTCTGTCTGTTAGAATTGAGTCAATCGAAGCGTTAAAAGCGACTTGTGTGAGGATGAACTGGGAGTCACGTTTACGAATTTTCAATAACAGGGAGCTTGGTAGAGAGAAATCAAGATGGGTAACCCAGCTCGATAGAAAGATCGTCCAGTCATGCGAGTTCCGTCGGTTGCAATATTCCTTAATGAAAAACTTGGACCCCGTGAGCATTCCGAAGTAACTTATTGCAACTTTGAACCGAATGAGAAAATTTTTCAACCTCCTACCGAGGTATAGAGAGGGAGAGAGAAGTAGGAAAAAAAAAAAGGAATTGCCGTTGAAAAAACACTGTCGAATCCGAAACTACAGAAAACTCTCAGAATACGTTGGTTTTACTAGGAAATTTTTTACAAAGTTTTTACTTGAGAAAAATTCCTATTCACAATTATCCTTTTTTTTTCTTACCATTGTTTTGACATGGATCGAGTAACCTGTTTTTACTGTGCTCTTGTAAATGGGCTCGAACGTCTTAATGGGCTGTTACGTTAGGTTTACGAAATCTTTACCGAAGTGTTTGCCCTTAGCGGATCGAGTTACTTGAGACGGGCGTTATTTTTCAAAGCGGTGAATTGGGGAGGCGAATGAATCGTGCCAGAAATAATTTGTGTCTCTTACCTACGTTTCGTATTGGGGAATTCAACTTAAGCCATATTAATTCCGAAACTGTCGCATGTACCGAACGTCTGGAAAACTTTGCAGATACTTTTTTTTTCGGTTTTGCATTTCTTTTTTATTTGTTGGAAACAGGATATGAGTGTGTAGCTCAGATGCATCACCTGAAGTTAGCGCATTCATTTGATCCTTATGGTAAAACCATGTTCAGACGCTATGCTTGGGCTGAATGATCGGTTATACTTATATGTATACACGCCCTCATATCTTATTTACGGCAAATAAAAAATAGAAAAGTAACTGCAAAGTTTTCAGCATGCATCCCTGGCAAAATATGTAAATAGGCAAAATTTTTACGCATTCCAAACGCAATTATCCTGCAAATTTCATTGAGCATATTGTTGAATTCACACGATAAATGGTAACAAATGCAATTCACACTCGAATAGGGGAGCATAATTGATATCAATATATAGATATACATGTTCCTTTAAAATTACCATAGAACACGTTACTGAATTTATTGATCGATGCTCGATAATGAGCAACTTGGAACTATAATATAAGAGATAGGGGAACCTAGGAAAAGATACAATATGGGCAAATGATAAGTGGAATAACATTTTGTAGTTTATTTAATTGCCATATTTTTTATTTCGCCCCAACTTTACTTAATAGGAAATATGGGCAATTTTTTGTATTATTAAGTTGTACTATTTTCTATAATTTCTTAACATGAATGGTTTACTTATGGCCACTAATAATCGCTATACAATTATCTTAAAATTTTCACTATAATATTAATTCCACGTTCATTTATAACCCATTCAATTTATAAAATTAAGAAATTAAACGTACTCATAAAAAAAAAACATTGAAATAGAACTAATAAATTATACACTAAAGTCAATCCTATAGGAACCGGTTATAATTAATATTGCTTAGCTGTCTGGATAATGATGACGGTGTCCACCGGTTAAGTCTCCTTATTTTAGTCCTAGTTCGGTTCGTCACGACTCAACAGTTTTATAGTATAGAGGTGGTTTTACATGGTAGATTTTGTTGTTAAGTGATCGACCTCCTCCAAGCACTTCTTGAACTTTTCATCTGTTATCCAGTTTTATCGTTTTATAAAGAATTTAGGTCCTCATTTAGAAACCCTGTCGCCTAGTAGGAACGTGCATTAAATAAAATTAATAATAGAATATATATATATATAAAATATACAACGGAATGTATAATACCTTTGATCGCACTTAGCACACGCCTTGCTTACACGACGGTCAATTGACGAAAGGGAAGAGCACGATAATTGCTATTCCTACCAGGGACTCTTACTTACTGGAGAGGGAAATCTATCGCCGACAACGCTATCTATTGACTTAATCTTAAAGAGTTTGTAACCGCGAGTTTCGTTACAATTCGCAGGGAACTCACTGGGTAAACGCACGTTACAAAGTCTTTACTCGAACTTTGGAATGACTTCTTACTGGTGTAATTTCGCAATATTACATAGTTAGATTATAATCAAGATAATCAATTTATTCACGAATAATTTAGATTGACATGATGGATAGGGTGTCCTATGAACTATCTAATTTATATACAAAAATAAGCACCCAGGAGCTTTGAGTTTTGCTGTATAATTATGTTTACGACTTCATTCTTTCCCAAACCCAATAAGAACGGAGCTAATCTACTTATAGCAAATTGAGTTTACTTGAGGGTGAGAGAATACAATATTATGCTGGGGATCTTAGGAATTGCTTCTAGTTTTCTGTTAGATTCAAGGGGAAAAAAACCAAATGAAGGTCTTCGTGACCACGGGCTTTTTGATGTCATCCATTGAGTTTAATGATATGTTCAAATAATGCAATTCGTAGCTTCATTGATATTTCGCAATATGAATATCACACAATTGATCCTTATTTGGATTTCAATTTTTTTAAGTAAAACAGTGGCAATTGGAATCTATTGAATTATTCAAAAGTTCAATATTCCTATCAGAGATTCATGTATGAAGTCATTTTGATCAATTCCAATTTTTCTAGCCTATAGTTGCATACATGCATAAACGGCGAATGCGTTTCGCGAGAGAACGTAGGAAGAGGAGATAAGATGACGTATCGATACAGGTTTTCCTGAAATTTACATACACGTAAAGAAGATAAGGTATCAATGCTGCATGAAAAGAAGATTCGCAAAAATATTTCAGAAAAATTTTGCAACATTGTATACATACGTCAGCATGTTTTCGAGTTATATTAACGTCTGAGTAAATTCGGGGTGCTCTTATCACGATTCACATTTTTCGTAAATTTGCAATATTTCTTCATTGACGTCTCGTATATTTTCTTTCGATCTTCTTTGCAATTCATTTCAATTCACAAAGACCCGCTTAATCGCAATTTCGCGGAAATTCATTGGCACGAACTTCAAATCTTACTTATCACAGAAGTTCGTTTAAAGGATCTTTGAGTGAATTCCAAATAAAGGCCATTTATCAAAGGAAGCGACGTCGACGAAAAGCGTCGCGTCGTTTCAAAGCTTCTTGGAAACATTCAGTTTTGCTCGATGAGTATCGCAAAGTTTTGAATGACCAAGCCAAAGATAAAACGTAGTCTGATTATTTCCAGCACCCTTAATGCATTTCCTTCGATATTAAATTATAATCATAACTTGCCGTTAATTATATCATCGGATTTACAATAACCGATATGCCCCCTTAGCTTATTCAGAATCTAATCAATATCATCGCGAATATCTTGCTACGATTATCACGTACAAGCTGTATGCTTGGTTAGCAACGTGCAGTAAGACTGTAGCGACATGCCAGAAGCAAAGTTTGGGACGACTTTGAGAAAATTTATCGTACTTTAAAAAAGACATTTATCGTACTCGTCCATCGCCTAATTGACATTTGGACATTTAGGAATTCCCAAGTTTCAGTAAATACTCTTGTGGCAATGTAACACGTGAATAACGATAAGAAAGTTTTTCACATGAAATTATAAAATTGTCTCATTAATCGCTCAGGTATCATATCAATTGTCTGTTTCAGATTTCAACTTGGATTGTTTATTTTCCCCTTTCTCACCTCTCTCAGTTAACCCTTTCATTTCGAGTTACTTTACGTTCAAGCTTATCACGAACTTCCAACATTACCAAGGACTGTAACGTGTCAGTAAGGACTCGAGACACAGACGCGACCAGACGTACCAACCTAATTACTCAACTACCTTTCTATCAACCAACCCCTACCAACCATCTATTTACCTATCTTCCACCTACGTACAGGAACAGCGAATAGGCGAACCTGTCGTGCGTAAACCAAAGTCTTTCTCAAGTTTGAAGAAAGTACCGGTGGTCTCACGTTTCGAATAATCAGTGAAGACAAACGTACGAGCAGTTAAGTTACCTTCGAGGAGAACTTCAGACATATTAAATTTAAAGAGATCAAGCAAGAAACAACCGGCAAGATTACCGGACGCGGCGGCTGCGCTAAGTATTGCGGCACTGCTCCATCACCCGGCAACATTTCATTCTCCAGCTTCCGGCAATCTTTCACCTCCAATGTCAACTACTTGAAACGGAGGTGAGTACTAAATTGGCTTTCGTGCTTTTTACGTTGCTGATTTTAATCTTATAATTGTTTCTTCATATTTATTTTTACTTGCGCTTCTTCTTCTCGACTACCGGCACTACTGCTACCAGTAACAGTTGTATCGTGCGATCATCACGCCCTCGTGACTGGAAGCGTCTTTCGTGCACTAGTATCGTTCCATGTATGGCTCACTGATTTGCTTTCTCTCGGAGAGCCACTCCTTTGTCTTCACTTTCTCATCTCCTTTGTCCACTCTTGACGACTCACGACGTTGCTGAGCCTGATTAAAGTTGACGGAGTTGAGATTTCTTTTCTCGTGATGTTTTTTTGGATCGTGACTCAACACTTTTTTCTACGATTTTCTTAGTTATTGCAGGCTTTAATTTTTGTCTCAATATTTTTACTCATTTTTAATAGATTTCAATTTTTAATTGCTTCTGCATGTATTTCGTTGTTTTTTGGTTTATTGCTCATTTTTCATATTATTACTGTATGCGGTACACGTACTCTTATATGTCCGCAATAGATGTCAATGTTAATGATTAGAGTTATTTGCAATACACCAGTTGGTGATAATAAAGGATCTAGAATATTGTACGTATAATGGCCGTGGAGACAAATTAGACGCAATTGCAGTTGCAAAAGCAATTATCGACAGACGGCGCATCCCTTTGACGCATTAATTTCAAGCGTCCTCGTAAATTCAGCGAGAAGAAAGAAAACTCCCTGTGAAATTAAAATGTTCAATGAAACTCATATACGAAGACGCAAATCAATTTACCAATCCTTCTCTCGCCACCCCCATCGATCGAAGCAAAGCATCGCGGCTATTTTATTGAAACGTATACGAGCCGCGATATTGCAAATTAATTCCACGGCAGGAACGTTCCTTCGTTGTTATTGAAATCCATTTATATTTCATGAGTCGCAAGATTGAAAGGGAGGAGCAAAAGGTGGGACTGAGCATTCGCATACGTAATTTATAACCACACTTTCGCGCTTTCAATTTTTACCACGTCAATTATTATTGAAATTGAAAGTTATTACCTTCGTTTATTATTAGTATGTTGTTTTTTTTTGTTTTTTTTTTTTTTCCCCTTTACACGCTTCCATGAACGCCTCCGCGAAAAGTGACTCTTTCGTACGGCCGATGATTTATCAAATATACCTGACAACGCCCGTGCTTGGAATTCACGGCGACATACTTGTTATTTATCACGCATGGCGGTTACACATTCATCGTTACTTCCACCCGTAAATCTCGGTAAATAACGCAAACTGACGGCAATGAAATTAACGCCTAACGAAACTCGCCGACCGCGAACTTCGTAAGCCATTGCTATCCAGCGTACGACGTAACCCGCAACGTTAATTCAACACATATCACCCGCTGTACTCACTCTGAACTTCAGTCTAGTGTATCTACACCGTGACGCCATATATGGGTTTATATGTGTATATATATATGTTGCCTGCTGCACGTATCCCTATGCAATGGCTAACAATACGAGTTACGGCTCGTTCCTAGCTGAACTTCGTCGTGCAGGCTAGTGGCGTGTTCGCGAGTCCCAACAAGTTGCACCTCATTCATTGAAACTGTACTGTCAGCACTGGTAACTTCTGTACCACTTGTACTTGCTGGGATACTTGAAATTCTAATAACTCTGATACCGTTTTTGCGGCGTACCCGCCTTATTGACTGTCGTATACTCGTGCATAATTGAATAATTGAAAATACAGTAATTCCTGAGATTGCAGTCAATTAAAATTGTATAAAATACTTTTTTTTTTTTATTAATTCAGCACCAAATGTTTCAGTGTGCATGCTCTTCGGATGTGAACTTTCAGATTTGCACAGGAGCAGGTGCATGGTGCTATTATGAAGAATCATAGAGATCATCATCACGGTCATAAGAATTTCTCATCAGTCATCGAGTTCATTAATTTAATGGAACACACGTAATGGCTGGTTAATGTGCACTGAATGGACGAAAGGGGTCCAGGAGATTGTCTTTATCAGGGCGGCCATTGTAGTTTGTCTTCTAGGTTCTCGTCGGGCGACTTAAGTTCCGAACTTGATGATGAGCCGATCTCTGAATCTGGGATGGCCACCCTGGGCCGTCAGGACTCGTCCCAACCGTATCAAGGTGTCCCAGATAGACCACTTCAGTCCCAGCCTGCACCTACACCACCACCTAATCAACCACCTGTGCCAGGGGCACCTCCTCCCAGTAGTCAACAACCCGGTGGAGGTGACCTGAGCCTGAACCTGAGACCCAGTTCAAGGACAACCAGTGCTCCATCATCGCCAGCTAAAACACGGGAAAGCTTGCTCCAAAGGGTGCAGAGTCTGACTGGTGCCGCTCGTGATCAGGCAAGTAACAAATGTTTATTTAATTATTTTTTAAATTTGCTATTAACATTTTTTTATATTTCTACAGCTCTGTTGTGATTTTTGCCCGTGTCTTGACTCTTTATATATTTGCATAGATTTATTAGACCAACGGCCAGTTTACTTTGTGAATATGGAGTTATGTGACTTTAAGAATATACTTGCTGCGAAGTTCATCTCCTTGAACTTTTTACAATGAAATACTGTAAAAAAAATGTCGGCCGGTTTCAACTTTTTTGTTTGGTTAGAATTGTATGCGTGAAGTTTGCTAGGACAATGGGTGAACTGACTTGAATGGATAATTAGAGGCATAGTCTGAGGTAAAGGGAAGGACTTTTTAAGTGGATTTGCTTATCATGAAGCATGGCTGACAAGGCAATAACCGTGTCGTGGTATAATATTACTTTTACCACTAATCCTGTTTAAGACCTTTTTAATTACCTAGTAGTTTCATCCTAAAGCAGACGTCCGGCTACTGTACGAAAATTCTGGTAGCGATACCCTTTATTGTTCAGGAAGAACATTACGAGGATAAGCAAGAGTGTTAATCGTCCTTAAAGGAAATATATTCAGGCAAACATTTTTTTATACCAATTCTTGATCGGTAGAACAATTATTTTATTCATTCAAGTGTACATATATTCAATTCTATTGTACAGTACGTATTAGAAATATTCCTTGACCGTTTAACAAAATAAAAATATACCTTTGTTTCATTAAATATGTTTCTTATGCTAAACGGCTCCATTCAGGGCTCGAGCTAGGAGAGCAGAGTGATTAATTTATTCTGAAGCTGACAGCAGCTAATATCTTCTCAGTCGATGTGCAACCGGTTCCTGGTGAGAAATAAAGAGATTTCGAAAGTCTCTATTATTCAAGAAGCACCCTTTTAAGGGTGCTGAAGGGTGATTCATTACTTTTATGGGTGTTCAGTACCTGCTTGCGACTTTCAACATCTACCGTACGCCATAGCAGGATGTCCTTGATGCCAAAAGAGCCTTTTCATGTGACGCTTTTCCGGAATTATCGAAGTTTCCTTTACGAGATGTTCAAGTACCCGTGCGTAAGATTCCAACAAGTTTCATTACATGCGATATCGTAAAAAATTTTTAAACCCCTAACAAAATTGTTACTTAAATATTTTCCTCAAGTTTTTCGTAACTTGCTATAAATGACAGATATAATTATTAAATATAAGAACTATAGGCTGCAAATGGATCTGAAATATTTGAATAACCAAGTATCCTTAATATACAATCTGTATCATTTTTTTTAATACTAATTTTCCAACGATTACTTCTTATACCGTTAATGCAGAACCGTGAAAATACCTTTGACCTGCTGTCTGGCTATTCGCCATCCGCACCTACTGTTTCCTTTCAATATCCCGAGTCGCCTTTTAGCGATAGAATACATTGCATATCAAGAGGCGCACCGAACCTTTCCCGATAGCGATCAATACCTCAAGCCTTCTTCAAATATATCTGCGTTTAGTTTTACTATGCCTCGTTCACATTTCACTATACCTATATAATTTACTCCCTACCATATCTAGTGCTTACATCACAGACCCGTCGTGCTTCATGCTCAGTGAAAAGTGGAAGACGTAAAATGCTGATACGAAACGCTTTTGATGCAGGGTTAAGATATTTTTTGAGCATAGGAGTAAAGGTTGAAGAAAAACAGAAGAAAACTATCGAGTACAAGGGGTTTGGAAAAACTATAAATAATTTTACATAAATTTTTATTTATTTTTTTATTACAAATGAGGGAAACATTTACTTTATTTTTTTTTAAGAAAAATAAAAAGGATTATTATACGTTTTATTAAAGTATATTAATTACAAACGTGAAATATAAATATAGGTAATTTTGTATTGATTAGTTTTCGATTATACATAGAATTGTGTTTAGCGACTTTTGTTATAGGAATTTTTAAATATATCCGGGGAATTAAATTATAATATTCTGTGAGAATGTGCAATATAATTTTCTATGAATGCAATTCATTATATCCATCCGTGTCAATTGGATAACTGAATCTGGGCATCGAATGAAACCGATGTTAAATATTTATGTATAATGTTCCGTACACAGTGTATGTACAGTTGCGCCTTCCTAAAAAATATTTTGTAAAATCGTATATTGCAAAATTGATTTCCTCTTACCGCAGTATGGAAAGTACAAGCTCGAATAAATATGGCAATCCGATTCGCGAATTCGCGTGTCACCGATCATTAATATAAGCGTCAAACAGCCCGAAGCAAGGTTGTAAATTGCAGGCTGAATTATGCACCCTGCAATCTATGCGCGACCAAATCGAAGCGATTTGGATTTCATAACGAAACCCAATCTCACGATGAAAATAATTGGAACGATATAACCTTGATATCCTATCGATAATTATTGCAGTATTGGGTCGTAGCATAAATGCATCATATACATAGTTTTGATACACAATCCCAAATCCGTAATTGTCCTTAAGCAGCTACACATCTGATATATTATTATAATGGGTTTTTAATTGAAAGCAAAACACACGATGCACAATCTCTGCTCATAATCCTAATTACATTCTAGTTGCGTCGTTGCTTGGACTATCGTATCGTGACACCGGGTGGCTTGCAGTGCTTGTAGCTGCCTCGTGAAAATGCACGTTGAAAACTACATCAACTAATTGGACTTTTATGCAAATAACCACGTAGACGAGGCAGCTTGCCAATTTTCATGTGTCCGTTACCGGTAGCCGCGGCTGAGTTTTTGCGCGACCGCAAACATTTCAATTTGTTAGCGAAAATCCTGCGAGCTCGACGGGACAAAAACTTGTCAAGCAACGTGCATCGTTTACGTAGACTGGTGTCCGCTACGTTTCTTATTTACCGGCCAGCCACGTTATTTCATAGTTCTACGACCATTGGTTCAAAGTTTTCATTATTCATTCGCAAGGTTTGTGATTTTGCGGAATCGCAAATTTCGCGCATTTCGTGTACGCGTGACGAATAATACATCGAACGTCTCATAATAGGATGATATATTTGCACTTGAAAATATATTTTGAGAATCCGTGAAAATATATTTTAATGGTTTTACTGAATAAACGAAAAAGGATTGAGCCACATTTTGAGCTCAAGAATATCGTTCTGTGGAATTAGGTGTTTTATTCTTGCTTCTGTTATTCTATAGATTAAGCTAGCGATATATTTTTCGTGTGATTTCAACATATGAATTTATCAGTCTTGCTTGGTTGACTACATTGAATATCTGCATTTTGTATTTTATATTTTCTTTTGTACGAATTGTACGTCGAAATCCTATTAAAACGAAACAATTGTTTTATTTTTGTATTGATTACGTTATTTGTAATCTACTTGCTTCGTTATATTCAGTTGAATAGGGCCATTGACCGATATCGTGCCCGGTCCATGCCGTAGCATATTCCGTTGAGTGCTAGAATATGCAAAGCGTTATGCACGGGCAGACCTTATGATAAACATGAGTAAATGAGAATCATGGAGTTCGTGGTTTATTTGCTTTAACATTAGCAGATTTAAGGAATATCGTATTTCTAATCCGAACCATCTCTGGATGTAAACGAAATACGTAGTAACGAGGGATGAAACTTGAAACCCCGAGCACGTTATTATTTTCAACTCCTACTACACCTATAGACACAATGATATACGTTTTTTGCAAAAAAAGTTACTTTCCATGAATATTTCCACGATGCAATTATACTTTCACTTAATTAAGCAGATTCACGCTGTTATACGTGAGGTAGTTTTAATAATTCTGTAAATATAATTGTTCATCGTCAAGCAGGTAAATTAATTATCTCCTTGCGCAAAATTCCAAGTTATCTTCGCGGGATGAAATAAGGAGAGCAGAGAAAGGAAAGAAAGAGGATAGAAAACTGCTAAGAGCTTAGCTTAGTCAGCAATGAATATTTTATTTTTATTTTTCTTGAAAACCTCCCAGAGAGATAAGGATAGATATGCTTTAGATATTATTGGATGAGAAAAGCAACAAGATGAGACATAATACCGGCATAGGAAGTGCTTACTCCTGCTGTGCCAACGTCCCTTATCAAAAAGGAGAAAAAAAGAATCCACTCTACACAAAACATTTTCATCCCTTCCTAACATTTTATTATGAGCGTTTAAGCTCAGTCGGAACATTTTGGATTTCCTATTCACGCTCAGCTGGATGATGAAATCGCAAGCATACTCTGGAACGTGAGAATTCGAATGAATCAACCCTCTGACCGATATCAACCCTTGTCAAGATATTTTTCCTCCTGGTAGTGTGTGCACGCGCGCTGTAAATGCCTGAGGGTAGTTTCCGTTTATCCAGGTAATACCTACCCATGCCAGGCAAAGAGTTCAAATTGCCTGAAGCTATTCTGTGATGATACCTACATCCGGAACGGGCGATCATCGAATTTTGTGAAAACTATTCAGTGCGAAATTCAAAAGGGTGATATAAACCCCCATAGTCTTGCTTGGCGACGAGACAGGTCACTGTGGTCTCATTTGAATGATAAAAATAAAAGCACTTTCCACCCTTTGCGTGAGCATCATAAAAAATGTACGCATAATCTTGCTGCTGGCAGCGCCTTGCTACTTTTGCCTACGGAAGATGAACTTTTATTAACATTTTATGAGACTCATGTTTGAGAACTTTCATACCTACCCGTCTACCTGGTTGCTTATACATGAGATGCTTGCTAGACTTTAACGGCTGTCAAGGACATCATCTATGTGACCTAGTATTCGAATCCAAGCCCTAGGTCAGAATAAAGGATACGAGGGGATCAATTTTTGTTGGGTACTGCTATAAGTTTTATGGATTTTATTACATGAAAGTTATTGAAGTATTAATAATTGTACAGTACAAAGAGTATTTGAAATTAACGAAAGTAAGCATAAGTGGTGTGTAGTCGAATACTATGTGGTATATACGCCTGTTTTTTACATTTACCTAATATTACATATTCAAATTCGAAAATATTCTAAATGAATACTCTCAGTTCCATGATTATAATATATTATTAATTATAATACTGAGCAAAATATTGCTATACTAGTTAAGCAGTGTGATCAAGTTATAATGAAACTTCGTTACAAACTCATCGAAAGTCCATAGCCTGCATTTACTTAAAGTTTAATATTAAACATACGTTCACGTTATATCATATTGGTAGCATCAAGTAAGCAAGTGTAATTAGTTTTTCAAATGTCAGAAATTCTATATTAACCCTTATCGTTTCAGCAGTACTGTTGGTTGGAGTTATAAATGTGAATTATTCATATATCCTTAAAGATATGTTTTAACCATAGAATTTTATTTTTATATATACAGGGTGCATCTATCCTGGGAGCAGCGGTGTCGGGTGCAACTCGTGGACCTTCTTTCAACAAGGATCGTTGCTTCACCCTGCTGGTGATTGACGATCAGAACACCGATTGGAGCAAATACTTCCGGGGTCGTCGATTGCACAACGATTATGAAATTCGTGTGGAGCAAGCTGAATTTCGGGAATTGTCACTCACAGCCAGCGAAGCAGGCGCCATTGTTTCCATGGCCGTTTTTCGTAACGGGACCAAGGTCATCCGGTAGGTTTTTCATCCGAATTTTGAAGGCACTTAAATCAGGACTATATATACGTGTAAAATGAAACTCTCGGAAAGAAACAGTTGCCCATGAACTCTTGATGATACCAAACAATGTCTAAGGCTTCGTTCATACTGGGAACAATGGATGATTATTCAAGTACGCCCTTAGCGAGGTCACTTGGCGAGCTTGGAGGTCGCCGCTATTATATGGATACAAGATTTTCTAGTACCGAGGTGCGTCTTTAGGACGTCGAGACGTCCCTGAAACCGTGACAAAATTGAGGGGTATAAATAATTTAGATTTGCTAGAACTTCACGAGAAACAGTCGAGCAAATTACTCCTGGATGAGCATTGTAATCCCAGGGTGACACCTACGCGATAATTAACTCTTGCACTTCGTAAAAGTTTCGTCGCGACGCGAACTTTATGGTTTTGATGTTTACCCACGTCGTGACGCTATTACGGGAAGTAAGGACTGTATGGTGGGTAGCGCGTTAACTTAACCCAACTTAACCGAGAACTGTCGTAGTTACGTTTGTATACTCGTAAAAGACTATGATGAGCTTTTCTATTACTTGATACTCTATAATCAGCTAAGTAACGCTGGAGATTTTTTGTTAGTTATTTATAATAACTAATCATTATTTTTGGATTTCTTATTTCTCGACAGATCGTTTAAACCGGATTTTGTCCTTGTACGTCAAAATTTACGTGATGCTGGTGAAGACTACAAGAATCTTCTTCTGGGTCTGATGTATGGCGGTGTTCCCAGTGTCAACAACCTGACGGCCATTTACAACTTTCAGGTATATGCAATTAGTTTTTCCAGGTTACATAAATGTGTTCAGCCGGTGATAAATTTGCTCAGAAAATAAGAAAGGGAATTTTAACAAAAAATGCACAATTAAAATTCGTCATTTCACAGGACAAACCTTGGGTCTTCGCGCATCTTTTGGGCTTGCAGCGTCGTCTTGGCAAAGAAAATTTTCCACTGATCGATCAGACTTACTACCCGAATCATCGTGAAATGGTGAGTCGTTGATTTCAATTTTTTGATATTGCACATTCGTTCGTTTTGTGAATCGTCGTAGGTAGTTCGCGAAAATATTTATGGGCACGTCCCGTCGATTTATGTTGTTGTTTTATGAAAGAACAATAGTTCGGTATTGCAGCAGAATTGAATTATTGTTATTTTAGATTTATGCTACTTTGCGTCATTTAAGATAAAACTTGCGAAACTGCGTTGCATCTGTTCAAGAAAGTTTTCTCGTCGTAAACTTGAGTGTTTGCCACGAAATCCCAGGAAAGAAACAGACATTTATTGTAGTAACGTTCGGTACTTATTTTGCGTCAAATGCGGTACAACGTAGGAGATATCTATTACGATGCTATACAATTGGATTTTGCCGTGTAAGTTTCAAGAACTATTCATACAAAATACAAGAAATCAACCTATTTTTGCATTATACATATGAACGTTAAATAGAATAGAATTAGGCATAGAGCAAAATTTAAATGACGCGTTGAAACTTTGGTTTATGTAATCTGATGAACAGTAACGTTACAAAGTAGCAACACGATAGTAACGTAATAAACAATAATACAAAAGTACTTTCTTGAATTATTCTTTATAACAGGTATATGTAGGTGAGATGTTAAGAATAGAAAATCTTTATAAATTTGCATATTTATGACAAGTTATAAATATACTTATATATCCATTACAAATAAAGCAGCTATACACCTTACAAGACGTAATACACCTTAACTTTAATTTTGCCGAACCAACTTCATACAATAAATTCCGTGTAATTTTGTGCACAAGTTACAATTGGTCGTACATTGGTTAATACAAGATTTTTAAAAATTGAGTAAATCGTAAATACAAACTTAAATGACATTTTTAATTCGCACTTAGGAAATAATAATCGGATCGGTGGGTTAACAAATGGACAAGGTTTTTTCCAGGGAATGAATCGACGACACGTACATACAATCTTGCTGTCAGGGCATTTATATTTTCACGGAATATTATTCTTTACACTTAAATACGTTAGTATGAAAAAAATTTAATTAATTTCGAATTAAATACATTAGTTTTTTTTTGTACTCAATTTTATCCAACGTTTACGATCACGCTCTACGCGCTCGAATCGTGGGTAACAACATAGATCCCAATTGTGAGATTCTACTAAGAGACATTGTATACGTCTACGCGTATAAGTAATATGCATAACGTCAATTAGTTTAATACGACAATTCAATACTTTGAGGTTAGGTTAGGTCGACAGTATCACGAACGTCATATAACAACATTTGAAAGTTAAACATTTCATATATAACCACTAATGATAGCATACTGATTTAAACTGTTTATACCATATGTATATGTGATCGATGTGTTATTTGACGTCTGCGAAACTGATAAAAAATGTACTTGTTATTAAAAAAAAAAAATAATAATTTAAGAATACATATCATACATTAACCTTAAATATGTACAACGCGGAAAGAAGAATACAGTTATAATTATTTTATCTGAGAACATCTCCGCCGAAGATATATTTCTCAATGAAATTTTCTCATTAAATAGAAAAGCAGTTCTCGGTTCTTGCTCAATACAGAAAATTTATGAATAAAATCAAACAGGTAAATATTTTGTTATACAATACGTGAATATCTAAATAATTTGCGTTAATCGCTGACAAATAAAATATTGAGTATTCGTAAAGGAATTTCGCCACAATGACGAATTCAGCAGGAAGTGTCCTGAAAATTGATAATTTTACCAAAAAAAAAATGAATGTGTAACATCATTAGTATTTATTGTTTGATTTAGAAATAATAAAACGTAAACGCATCACAGATACCGACTGAAAAATTCGTGCATTCTATAATATATTTGATGAAAATAGATTCTCAATATGATTAAAAAGATATTCAGAAATAAATTAATGATCTGTACGCTGTCACACTTGATGACCGATTTTTTTCATACTTTCGTTACTTTACGAAAAAACAAGCGATTTTCGTTCGGTATCATACAAGTAGCGGGTGATGCAACTACTGCGCGTCTATGCATCGTTACACATAAATGCGTCTGGCGTGTATGCACGTAAAAAATGCAAGGAGCGTACAGTGTTAGAGACAGAAGAATAAGTAGATGCGAGTATGATCTTCCTGAAGAGAGAATTCGTGCGGAGGAGGTGAATGAAATTCTAGAATCAGGGTTCTCTCGCGCGTTGCTGTTCACGTTGACGTTGATGCTGCTTAATGCAGTTCTTATACGGCACCGAAGGCACCCAGGAACATCCTCCGGGGCTTAGCATGCATATACCATACTTTTCTTGGCAATCCTGGGGACCAGGTGCACTTTCCCATAGACATCGCTTTCCCGCGGCGGATTCGAATGCTGCACCCTTGCGCCACCAGTGAGTGTAGAGAATCTGCGTAGAGAAAGATATGGAATATCGGAAACCATTATGCGATTTGTATACAGGTACACCGTTAGAGTGCGTATGAAGCACGGGAGTCGATATTAGTAATTCGAGTGGATCGAAGGTATATTAACGGTGGATAAATTATTAAGATTTTTTTTTCTGTGCTTTACGTAAATGTGAATATTTTGCCCGTTTTTTTTTTCATTGTGGAAAATTCTTGAAATATACGAGTGCACTCAGTACCCTGTGCGGTTTCTAGCCAAGATTCAGGGTGCTTCCGTCTACGATTACTTTAATGCAATCTTTGGAATTAATATGGAGGCAGAACGCTTGCGAACTTTTTTATCATTTTTTTCTGTACTTGCATTAGCGTCGGCTTCCGTTTGGTTGGGAAAGAAAAAAAGAACCGCGTATCCGGGCTTGCTGGGCATTATTCGTTTTTCAGTTGGCTGCTACTTTTTTTTTCTTCCCTTGACGTTATTAAATTTTCTATTTACTGTTCGCGAATTCAATTATGGTTATGCGCTACACTGACAGCTTCCGGTTACGAGTTTCACGTTGTCCAACGTGTGTCGCGACACGACGCTGTAACAGTAACTACAGTAAAGAAGACTAAGAATTTTCTCTAGCTTTTTCGACCGTGCAATTTATCTCTTATTTACTCGCTCTTACTATTTGCTGCAATCTTGTGCAATTTTCTCAAGCGAGGAAACTAGCTTAGCGAATTCTTCGCCATTGGATCCGCCTAAATCGACACGGTGCCAATACTTGGCTCGAATCGAGTACGCGATGGGTTTTTATTTTTTTATTTTTTTTTTGTTCGTTCATCCCTTTTTCATTCCACCTTCGTCTGTCTATCCTTCTATCGTGATTCTCGTGAATTGCACTACTCTCCTAGAAAATTGCAAGCGTCTAATCCGTCCGAGTGCAAGGCTTATTCTTTAGCGGGGTTAACCTTAGTAGGAAATTGATGGGTGGACGTGAAAGCAGAAAATTTGTCTATCGTGCTAGAAAGTGTATATTGCCACAAGTACTGTAAGCACTATAAATTGGAAACGATAGTTATTCACTAAAAATCTGTATCATAATCAATCCATAGCGATGCACTGGTAACGCGTATGATAAGTAACATGCCTGTGGCGAACATTTTTTTCTTGGAAAGTACTAAAGTCGAAATTTTCAATGATTACTCTTGTTACAGCGATTCGATATAAAAATTGATAAGACATTTTCGCGTGTTTTATTCACTTGTGCTTAAAAATGATTTAATTAAAATGCATTAAATATTGGCTCTGTAAAAATATACTTGCCTCGCAAACGCAACCGCGATGGTAAAATTGACGGAATCCTTTGCGTTGTCGCGGTGTCACTTCGGACCAACGTGTCGCGAGTCCACAGATCGATATACTGGGCTTTCCAGAAATAATCCTCGCGCTGATTACATACGTCTCTCCCAAGTTCAGATATACGCCGCACATACTGCTTATCGATGATGTCCACAAAATATTTTGCTTCATGGCCATGTCGGCTTTCGGGTTAGTCTGAAATTACATACCATAAAGAAACATTGATAAAATATATTTGGCAAGGATTTTCATCGATTAAATGGGAACTCGGGAAATTCGACGAAAATTTAAGACATTATGATATAAATTCGCGAAATATTTACGGAAAACAAGGTAACACTGGCTAAACAGATTAGAAATTTGCGATCGAGTTGCATAATTGAATATGAATTATCAAGTTTCATAATTATATTGCAAATTCAGAATTACCTAAGCTCAATTATATTTTAGTAGGAAATATTTCGGTATCTTACACCATATAATGATACAAAATTAAATTAATTTAATTAATTTGAAATTCCCACGATAGGAGGCATGCATATTCCATTAAGAAGTCGACTATGGAATCTGTAGGGGACTCTACAAAATTGAATAGCATAAAAAGATGGCCCCTCGAAAAAGACGTTATGCTTGTCAACGGATACACAGATTCATTGACTAATAAAATTTTAACGATCAATCCCGATCGAAATGACATCAACCACATAACGTGTCATTGTCTCCCACGAGATACAATCTATTGGGAATGGATATTCCCTTATCGTGCAATCCGATCGAACATTAAGGCCACTTTGGTAAGTATGTCGCCTGCACCGTTGCGATAGATCGAGCATAGGTGATTCGCATGATAATGAGCTATTGTTCATAATCGCCATTATAACGATGGACAATCCGTAATAGCAGCATGCAGTGCCGACTCGATATATCAGTCTGTTGATAATACACGTTCATATATAAACACCATAAAAATTCATAAGACAAAACAGCGCCTTGTCATCGGTCAAAAGAAGCAATGCCATTTATTTTACATTGCTTTATTTTTTCAACGTCTTCGTCACTTTTTGGCACTATAAATAACATCTTTCCAAAACCAGCCTTATATTCAGGGTAGACGACTGTAACATCTCCAAGAAGGGTGTTACGCATTCATTAGATTCATTCGCATCCATCATGGGGCGATAGGGTAAGTTTCGCCTTCGCGTTTCCTTATGACAGGAACATCATGGCGACTGACGTGACTACTGGGGGACTTATTGATTACAGAAAACGAAGTTACAGAAATGGGAAAGGTCGATCAATTTTCCGTGGTCAGTCGCAAAATCCGAATGAAAAATGTCACACAAATAAATTTCCATTATGATTTTTAATCGCATTAATTTTTTTGTACTGAATAACAAAAATGATGACTGTACTATGCAATATTTTTGGTTATTTGTAAAGTCCATTTTTTTTTTCTAAATTCTATTACATTGATGATCGATCTGTATATTACGGTTAATACCAACCTTGAAAACCCGATTGACTTTCACCCTGTAGGCAACCTCATCCTCGTTAATTGGAAAGAACTTCTTTACCCTCACTACGGCAACTGCAATAAGAGAATAAAGTAAATTCACGGTTAAGTCATTATTAATATCAGTCGTGACATTTCCTAGTGGATAATTACGTATCGTGTATATGCAGCATGTAAGATGATAACTACAACCCTTTTCGTTTTAACGTTTACGATATAATTTCCGTCGAGGATACCAGCGCGAATGAATCTTCGTATTTCTGCTTGTTCGCATCTCTTCTAACGAGATCATAATTAATGTCGATTATCGTTATTTACGATGACGTCGAATGTAGGCGAGATCCATGTACTTGCCTTAATAAAAGCATCCTTAATGGAGCATGACACATAGACATTATCATACGTGTTTTCGATACGTGCGAAATCATTCCGAATGTTTCTGTTTGGGGGGTTGAGGATGTCTCTGTTACGTTTTACGCGATAATCGTCAAATTTATTCACGATTACGTTAAATTTCGAAAGTAGGGTGCACTTGTTTGATTTTTTAAACATTCTTTTACACGGCAAAGATATTTATATAAAAACTTTCTAGACTCTCGATGAAATCAAGTGTTTATTCCTTTCATAATAAAAGTCGAGAGTATCGTCTTAAGAATCGATTAAAGTCTGTATTTTGACTTCGAGGACTCCATTAAGTATAGCACTTCGAGGTGTCCGGAAGTTGCGTAATGGACGGCAAGGCACCTACAAAGGATTATCAAGAGGAGTGAGTGGGTATCGGGATTCATTTATGATGGCTTGAAAGTGCTTAACCTCACAGCATCACTTGCTGAGGATTATCGCGTTACAGCGATTCAATGTTTTTTAAGTGGGAAATAAAGTCGCGCTACAGGATTCACGGGTTAGTAACAATTTATAGTACGAAGTAAATTAGAGTGTACAGTTCGGATAGGCATTCTCTGTCTTTCTTCATCTCACAGGTCTGAATAGCTGAGCTTTCGGGAAAATCAATCAAACTCCAAAGGGGTGGACTAAGCCTTGAAACTTTGGCTGTTGCTTCACAGGAGTTAATCTGTCTTCTCAATCCTCGCACTACTCTCATCTACCATCTCGCTCTCTCACTCAATCGTATATATCCTTCTCTCACGTTCTTCCACGGCAAACTTCATTAACTGCTGTTTCCTGCAAAATATTTGATATTCCCAACTAACGTAATCGAACGATCCTATTCGTATGCGGGGTAGATAATTTCCGAAAATCTCAAGTATTCCATTCGTAATTCTATCGTCGGTAGCCGGAGTCGAATAAGATGATAAAAGTTAGGTTATTTTTTTTTTTTCGTCAACGAGTAATATCCGCAAACTCTCTATATTTATACAGTGCGGCGAAATAGTTGGCAATCGAGAAATCATGATTCCCATAGAGAGTATAACCAGTTTATGAATTTTGAATTGAGTTTTCGATACAATCGTACAAATACCATCCTAGCGTGTACATATATATATATATGTATATACATTTTAATAATCGAATTATCGATGAATTATAGACGGTACTTATCATAGGCTAGGAGCCGTTCAAAATCAAGATATATTGCGTCACTGTACCACGCTGCACCAGCCCACTAGAACAAATGTGTTCGTATACGATGATTTATTGCGTGTAATTACACGTAAAGATTTTCGATGAGACGTCTTTGGTATTTTCATGATATCTCGATAAGCGCCGAACGAGTTAGACGCACGGCGATGATTTTGTATTGAACGGTCATTGGAAAAGAACAAAACTCGTTTACTAATAGGAAAGACGCTGGTACATAGACGAGGAAAGCTATGTGGATGAGAACGAGGGCCTTCCGGCGGTCCTTCTGCAAGAAGTCGAAGGTGGTTCTCGGTAATTAATAAAGGCATAAATAATGGGCGGCTATGTGTTCTGGCACCATGGGGGAACACGAGTCATGCCGTGTTTCACGTGTGCTCGAGGGTTGGGTTATGTCCATTCGTGCGCACTCACATAAAACAGCCCATAACTAAAGTAACGGCACTCGCCTCTCCCGAGTCCCAACCAGCTCAAGAATTTCTTCGTCGATCGTTTATTTTCGCTTAGCCATTTGTGAAATCATCATATTTTTCATATTATTCTTTTTACACCAATAGTCCTTATCAGCATCATTCTTGACTATGGAAAAGTAATATGGCAATTTTTACAACGTCAAACGAATTTACGGGGTCACGTGACAATTTAATTTTTTACTAGGGAATTCGACGTGTCATTACAGTCAATCGTGACTTTCTGCACGACGATAAATATCAATGATAATTCACCGGATATATGGTTATCGTGTTAATCGTTAAGTCTACCGCTTATAACTTTTCGTACCGGTTAGAAACGCTTTACACGAAACGCCAGCAGTGTTGTTTATACTTTCTATAGTGTTACTTGAGTAAAGTGTTGTTACGACTAATCGGATCGTGACGTAATTCATAGTGAGTTCTTGGAATATGTCAAAAGCTAGACTCAATCAGACCGGAAGCCCTGCAGGACGGATTTGCTCCCTTGGTTAACGAGTGAGCCCGTTCATACTTCGCGACCAGAAATCAGCTGATAATAGAGTTTGCTGCTATAGATGAACCTTAGTCGATTATCACGTAGTGGATAATCACGTGCGGACGAATCGTGACGTCAGATAAATTTTCACGCGAAGCAATCTACCCGCGCGGTAAAGAAACTGTTACTGGACTTATTGATCTTGATTGAAATTTCTTCAATCGATCATGAGATTTTGCGTTGTATAATTTTTCAATTAATTTTTCTAAAGCGCAATAAGTATAACGCCAATGCGGATATATTGGCTAAAAGTGAAAATGAGTGTGTCGGTTAACGCGTTTAAACAAAATTTAATTAAAAACTTAAGGAGCGTTTAAGCTCGGTGACCTCACGACATAATTTTACTTCATATAATAATACGAGGGTGCTTTTCACCATGACTACTTGAACGAGAATCTATTATATTTCGTGGTGCCATTTACCAAGTAAATTTATTCACCACCTTCACTATGGGGGGACTGCGAATGGTGGTAGCGCTAATGCTAATAACCATATTGGTTAATCACCATAATCGTTAAGGAGATTTATCATTATCAGCCTGTAGATTAACAATCTCTCATACTTAATGAATATATATTCCATACTCTTGTTTATTCATACACGTGATATAGTAATCGAGATTCCTTACTGTCCAATCAAGGTGATTAGTGCATAGTATGGGATTGTACTATTAAAATATATATATGTAACAGATGACGTCATTACCGTAATCCGAGTCGCAAAAATGTGTCTGTGGATGAGTTAGAACACAGCTGCATGCCTCCACTTTTATTACTGGCAACGTCGACAGTGCCAGTAATGAAAATATGGTCCAGCACGTGAGCGACCGCATCTGAAAGAAAAAAAAAATATATATATATATTTATGAGCAATAGTATTCGAATTGCACAACGTGAAGCATAAGGCGTAAATTAGAGGTATCTCATGTCGATGCCTAAGAAACAGACGGTAGCTTAAAACAACCGTTACCTAATGGTATACCGTCGCTTGTACTTATTACCATATGTAATAATTAATAATTAAACTCGATGAAAAATAACCTGAGATTGACAATTTATTTTACGCGAACGGCACTCGCCGTTAACGGGACAAAGGACCGTTGCGTAAATGAAATTTAATAATTCTCAGCGTGATGTCCGACGAAGTACCTGACTCTGTGAAATTATAACCAAAATGTCATTTAGTGTCAGACCGTGTACAGCGTTTATGGCGAAACGCAGACGCGTGATGAAACATTTAATTTAATCAGAAACTTAATTGTCTTTTTCGGTTGTACGGCAGGGAGTGAAACTCGAGGCGCGAGGCTTTAGCAGCTTCTTGCTAAGTAAATCGACTTTCTCTACAGCTGGCAATACTGTATATTCATACCGTGTGAAAGTATCCTTTAGGCGTTACACGTACGTGCCAATTGCATTGGCACCTTGAAGGTAAAAGGGATACGATAATTTCGATACAACGAAACGAGTCTGGACTAAACTGATAATTTAGTCACGAAGAGACCAAAAATTGATTTTATTATGTGTACTAGACCATCTAATCTTGTGCAGTAAAATATTCTAAATTAAAATGATGCATGATTATAGAATTAAATTAATTTTTTTAATGCAGCGGTTATATTTTTAACTGAATAATGTAGGGTTATCAAATAAAAGGTGTGTGGGTCAAATTAAAGAAATGCACTACAAGAGCGCAGGTGCAGCATGAGTTTTAAAATAATGATAATTCTTAGTATCTCTTCAATTATTCCATAAAGATAGTATTGTTTTTTTTTGTATTTGTGAAATTTGCAAATTTAATTTTATTCCTTCGCTCTAAGCTGCGTTCACAATCAGCCTGACTGCAATCAGCGCATAATGCACAATCAAGGACCTGCTGGTTTAAGCATTATTTATCATAGCGTTATCCGCTCAACTGCATTCAGTTCAATTAGCTTAGTGAATTAATGCGACCACCAATCTCACGCTGTCTCTTCGTCTCTCTCTGCCGATCGGATGATTTATGCATATTGCCGTCGTTATCTTTATTCGCTTCTATTTTTCATTTTTCAATCTCCCTATTTATTTTCTTCGCCTGGTCGTTGGGTCGATCAGCGATCGGCGACGCTTGTACATTGTCGAATAAATGAAATCGCTGAAACTGGTCGTTACGACGTCCACGTGATTACTCATTGTAATTTTACATAAGGGAAATAAATTGCGCTGAAACATTGCTAGTCAACTTTTCACTAATTTGCTTTTTTTTCTACATTAGCTCGAATTGATTTTCTTGGAAATTCATATATTGCGTGGATAACATGACTTTTGTAAAAATACGAAATTTTCTTGAAAATTTTTGTTTACGATATTTCTCCGTGGATCTTTCATTCTTCTTGTTTCATTTTATTTTCTTCTTCTTTCGCTTCCTTTTATCTCTGAAAATAATCACTCGATCCACGCAAGAGAAAAGGGGGCGAATAGGCATTTAATCAAGAAAAGCGATAAACAGATTGTCATCGCGATACACATTCATTGTCCCACGCCTCGAGGGGACTTTTTTTCTGTTATTCATCGAGAACCTATAGAGACAACAGTACGAACGAGGATTGTAAATTACTTTGAGTTTGAAAGAACGAGAGTCAGAATTTTCTTCCACCCTCTTTCAGTAGCGATGCTAAATATAAAGGTACAACTGATATTATTTGTCGTTCGAGTTCGAAAGTAGGAAAATCATTTCCCACCGCAAAACAAAAAGGAAAATTAAAAGGCAGCGTATAAGTTATTATGAACTGAAAATTTGTACGTTCGTATGTTATCATTTATCACCAGTTGTATTTTTAAAAAGTAAAAAATATAGTATATGATTAGTTAACGCTAGAGATTCATACTTAATTGCACAATTTTAATCAATGGAAATAAATCCTAGTTTTTCGAAAACCAATTGATCGCTGCAAATTATTCAGAGTTGTTGCGTGTACTCACTGCGCAAATATGCGTAAGATAGGGATTCGTGTTTCTGACAAAATTTCACAAGGGGTTGACAAAACACGTTAAAGAGATTGGAGTGTGGAGTTGACACTTGTCAAAGGCAGGCTGTTTATTAAAATTGTTAAAATTGTGTTCACGATCGATTGACTATGAAACGAATTACAATAGAGTATGAAAAGTTCAGTTCGTGGTAAATTCACGTTCAAATTTTAATGTCCCATCACGTTCGATCCTCTGTAACGCACACGCAGAGCATCAGCTACGAGTCTATCAGTGATAACGAGAATTTATATAACGCTATCAAATCGCGTGAACGAACAATAAATTCCGATCACGTTTCTTTTTGTTCAACGTAGAGCTGCCTGCTGTGCACTTTGGAGAATTGTGTAGTCGAAAAATGTCCAATTCAGGTATAATATCAGCAGATAAAGTTCTGACCTCCTTTAACCATGCTCATAATCCCAAGCTTAAGAAATGACAAAAATTTATCCTTAATCGTTAACAAGAATTATAATGACGCCAATAAGAATTCCAATGCAAAAGCATAAATTTTGTTTCATAAACTTTTCGTAAATTTGCATTAAATCTGTCACGGCAGGTGTTATCGGGCATTCGGTATGTTACATAATTTTGACAGCTGTCATTTGAATAAAGATTCGTGTAGTTATCACCATTTTGGAAATAATATCGGATAATAGCGAACGGAGTGGCTGAATTTTGTATTTCGTTTGTAACTCAAAATATTCCTGACCTAGCTGCGGTTCCATTGGGAAGATTACGTGGGCACAGTGACGTCTACGTAAAACACGAGAAGCCGTATAATCTCGCGGAAGCGAGTTAATTCGTTCTAGTTTATCGGCGCCAGCTGGATCCGATCTATACATAGAACAACACTCGAACACAGGTTATATACAATGTACCGTGAACACCCAGAAACTTCCTATTGATGATGCATTTATTGTTGTTACGGTTAAAATAAACAAGAGAACAAGCGTTCTCGAGCCTGAATCCAAGTCTGGTCGCTATTGCGGGAAAAACATGCGCTGTTAATGTACGACCTATGAATAGACTCAGGGCTTTCGTTTTTCGGTTAATTAGTCAAGGTATATTTATGGAGGGTATTTGAGTGGAGGAAAAGAAAAAAAACCCTTTCTTTAAACATTCCTTAACGTTGATAATCGTTTTACAAATTAGCGTTACTCAAATAGCACGTGTCAACGGTAATACCAGACCACGTATTGACTTTGACAGTCTTAATAAACTACCACGACTCACGACACAACAATTACAAGATATCTCGATAATATTTGTCTTAATCAGTCTCTTTTTCAATATTGTAAAAAAATAATAGTTTTATCTTAAAACCTTGAGGTCCAAATTTTTAATACGTCGATGGTTATATATAGACCCTTTGAAGGTTGAGATTTCACATCGGTCCTTTGACGTGATCTAATAACAATAATGCCGTGTGAACGGCTCATTAATTTTCGACACTACGCTTCCCACTAACGCTCCATTAGCGTGTGTCCGTTATCAGTAGTGTTTGACGCTTTTGAAATTCATTCGCACGTTTCTACAACACGGCGGAGCCTGGCACGTGAGAACACCTAATTAAGTCGATCTCGTTACACTCGCACAAAATGAAACATTAGACGCTTCCTTTTATTCGGCATCGCGGTAGCTGATGCATTCTTGAAAAATAGCTACCGTGTGAGGTTACAGTTTGTCGAGTTTAATGTCATGGTTACCTACTCGTAATCGTTAGTACGGTAGCCGCGTGAGATTTTGTAATTAAGTTGGACTCGTTATACTTGCTGGTGGTAATGATACAATCGTCACTTGCTGTACGTATAATTGCATACCTCGCGTTGCGAATCTTAAGCGTTCGATGAAATTGAATTATCTCGTGAATAGAGGCAAATTGTGAAAAGCTGCTGCCTTTGAAATGCGCTTTGATGGATGATAGTGCTTCAAAGAAAAATTGTAGTAGACTGTTCTGTTCAGAAAGTATTTGAATCTTTAATAACGTTACGCTCTGCTGTATCTATCGCTGAGTAACATTGTCTTTGATGTTTGATATAAATTTAACGACTTTGGTATAGGAAACGTATCGTAAATTCGAGATTACCTTTCCTGATATACGGGCGTAGTAAGAGATAAAAGCTAGAGGACCACACTTTGTCCTCAATGCTTTACTCTCTGTGCAGTCCTGTCGTTCGAGTAGTTCGTAAAAAAATAATTTAAGGTAATGCTTACGTAAACATGATTAAAAGTATAGTAACGAAGGTATTTATATTGTGAAAGAAAACTATCTCGACATTTTCTTCGTTCTTAGAATATCTATCGCTTCGACTGTACTGTCATACAGAAATAAGTACGCAAATATTATTCGAATTGAGTTCTCTTTTGTTTTTTATTCGAATAACACTTAAATATTTGATATCGAGTGAATGATTGCATTTGATATAATATTTCAACTTAAATTATTATAAACTAATATCTAATCTGACTGGTAATTAAATTATGCATAAATTTCATATTTTTTTTCAGATCAACAAGCATTTTAGTACTTTTGAGGTAGATTTTAAAAACTTACCGAACGACTCGTTTTTATCTGATGTTTCTTTGAAATTTCACGATTATATATCATATTCCGTAATCAAGTCCTTCTCTTTAAGAATCACAGTAGAAGCTGGTTGAATGTCATAAATTTTCGTACAATCACGAAGTCGAAGTAACCTGCCTGCTATCGTGTGTTATTAAGGAACAAGACGGCGGATCTTTCACTTTGGATAAATCTCACTACCCTCTGTACTCTCTTGCCTCGCATTGTAGCCATGTCTATACGCACACGGCTCATAATACGTAC